ACTAATGAGAGGAAAACCTGTCTGAGAAGGTGCGTCTTCCCAGAGCTGCCGTCCCACCCTTGGGGCCTCTGCTGGGAAAACAGAATCAAGTCTCAAACAATGCCTTTTTAATTGTATCTCTAGTATTATAGACGTAGGGCAGTATGTATCATACCTCTGTGAATGTAAAATACCTTGTACCTGCTTTATGATACGTAGTAGTGACCGTGCTTTATCAGAGCTGTTTTTAATGACGTTATCCTAGACTGTTTTCTTTCCAGATGATGATGGAGAAGCTTAAAAAAAAGAATGGTGCCAGGTATCACAACAGTGACAGAACTTTGCTGTTTTCTGGAGATTTGTTTTTTACTTTTTTTTTTATTGGAGTGTGCTGGATGTCTATAATTTTGTTCAGATGACTGCAGAACCTGGAAAAGCTGTTGCTGCTATTGATGCATAACATACTGCTATTGGTCTTTTTATATAAATAAATATATATATATATATATACATATATATATAATTTGAATTTTTGGAAACTTTAGCTGTGCTGTCAACTTTGGAAAAACTATCCCAGTTGTACTGTGTTGGGTTGGCATTGTACAGAAATTAACAGCCATATTGGTCTAGAAACGTTCAACATAATTTTTTCCATTTGTACAGGGGCAACGCACTGTATTAAATATGTAAGGTCTTAATCTACATGGGTTTGATTACAGAAACTAATAAAGTATTCTCTAAATAATGAGTCTTGGAGCTTCTGATCCATTCCTGAAATCTGAAGCAAGGTCTGTTGTGCCCAGTGAACAGCATTAGCAGGGACTGGTTTCTGACTTGGAGGAACGTCTCTGCACTCATAGTCATTAGCACCTACACAAGGAATTGATTTGTCAGTTAAACTTGTTGCCTAAAATTCCATACCCAAAAGCATGGTTTCCAGCCCCAGCTTTAGGAAAACTGGTAATTCAGTCACTAACATATTTGCCCTCTCCCATTGCCACTGGTTTCCATATTCTGATCCTTAAGTTCAGTGCTCCTAAATTTTCAGAGCTTACATTATCTTCATTTGCAAGCCAAATTATCTTAATTTGCTCAGTTAATCATTATTAACTTGAAACACCACTAATACCTTAGGCCAGTGGTTCTCAACCTTCCTAATGCCATGACCCTTTAACACAGTTCCTCATGTTGTGGTGACCCCCAATCTCATTGTTACAAATTGAACATAATGAAAGCATAGTGCTTAATCACAAAAACAATATGTAATTATATATGTGTTTTCCGATGGTCTTAGGCGACCCCTGTGAAAGGGTTGTTCCACCCCCAAAGGGGTTGCGACCCACAAGTTGAGAACCGCTGCCTTAGGCACTTTGCTGGCTAGGGTCTCCAATGGGAAAAAATGTAATATTTTTACATTTTACCCCAAGTGATATTTGTATAACGGCTTCTCTGTTTGGTCATACAAATCTCATCTCTGGCTTCTCTGCCATATGATACCTCAAAAGATGTTGCATTTAGTAGTTGACAGTGGATTTGGTGACAAACTTCTGGACATTCTTTACCCCTTGAACTTTTCTGCTGAAAAGGAGGGTATGTTTTTGTCCTTAGCTATGACAAATTGTGCTTTATGATGGAAGAAAAGATTGGGGGGGGAGGGGGGAGGGGGGAGAGGGGAGGATATTTTGAAAAGGCCTGTTGTTGGCATTTTCACAATACAAGTTAGAGAAAGTAAAGCTCAACATACTCTTAGCCAGAGGCAAGATGTAGAAGGTAGAATCAGAATGCATCATGGATTTTAAAAGATGGAGAGTAGACTGTCTGAACTTCAATGTTGTAGGCATGTCTTGTAACAGGTCACCGAGGTTTTTCATGCTTGACTGCAGCATGTATCATAGCTTCTGAGCACTTTTGGTATTTTCACCTCCGCTTTCCAGTTTCCTCGCAGTGTGCAGTTAACCACAGCTCACCTGTTTGTGAAAATCACCTTAATTTGATTACATTTTAGGAAGACATTTATTTTTCATCCAATCCTCTGATTAAGTCCATGCCACAGTTTCTGCTCATGAAATGAAAAGGAAAAGAACAGGATGATGACTCTGAATGTTACACCAGCCATCTCAGCATTTGCATGTCACCAGAGAAATGATTCCTTGGCCCTTTTCCTTCCTCCATCTGCTGGTCTTAACTCACCCTCAGGTGTAGGGCTGAGTCTGCTGTTGGCAATCAAAGCAGGGGCTCTGCCTTAGCTGGTTTGGCTCAATGGGTAGTGTCTGCCTGCAAACCAAAGGGTCTTGGGTTCGATTCCTGTCAAGGGCACATACCGTGGTTGCTGGCTCCTCCCCGGCCCAAGCCCTGGTCAGTACGCGTGCGGAAGGCAACCAATCGATGTGTTTCCCTCATATCAATGTTTCTGTCTTTCCCTCTCACTTCCACTCTAAAAGATCGATGGAAAAATAGCCTTTGGTGAGGATTAACAACAAAGCAGGGTCTCTGTGGCTTTCTGAAGTACGCAGAAGACTGGCATCCAAGCCCAGAGTGCTGTTGAGTTTCAGCCTGTCTGGGGATCCGACAAGTAGAAGTTCATTTCCGTTGTGGGATGAATGTGATATTATGTCACTTGGATTCTTAAGTAAAAGCCCTCGACTATTTCTGGACTAGTGGTCCGTTGGGTGAATCAAAAATCATGGATGCCTCAATTGCTTGGTTTTATTTTCATTTTTTGTTAAGCCTCACCTGGGGTATTTTTTCCATTGACTTTTAGAGTGGGAGGAGAGAGGGGAGAGAGACACACATCGATTGAACTACAACCTAGGTATGTGCCCTTAACCCTTGGTGGGAATCAAGCCTGCGGCCCTTCAGTGTGAGGACGGGCGCTTTACTCGCTGAGACACCCTGGCCAGGGCTCAATTGCTTCGTTTTAGGTATACATTTATTTCCCACCCAATCTTTTAATGAAGCCTATGCATTTCTTTCAGATGTCTGCTAAACTAGTCTTACATATAATCACTTCAGATGCATCTGGACTACAGACTCCCCAAGACTCCCAGATAAAGCCCAGTTCTCCACAAAGCCATTGCACCAGCACAGTAACAAGATATAAAACAGACCATTTTAAGAAATCAGTATGGCCCTAACCGGTTTGGCTCAGTGGATAGAGCGTCAGCCTGTGGACTGAAGGGTCCCAGGTTCGATTCCGGTCAAGGGCATGTACCTGGGTTGCGGGCACATCCCCAGTAGGGAATGTGCAGGAAGCAGCTGATCGATGTTTCTCATCCATTGATGTTTCTGACTCTCTGTCCCTCTCCCTTCCTCTCTGTAAAAAATCAATAAAATCTATTTTTTTAAAAAAGTCAGTACCGTCACCGTGTTCCTCCTGAGGTGGACGTCCAAAAATTGCTTCTGATACAGTCAGGCCCCACACAGAAATCTGTTTATACTTTGACAACCTTCCACAATTCGGAGACTTCGGTGATGCTCTGGCGGAAGGAAGCAGCTGGGAACACAGCACCTGCAGGTTCTGATTCAGCTTAAGTGATTGTTGGATTCCCACCTGGCGCTCAACACTGCCGCGCCCTGGGGAAGGAGGGAGGAAAACATTGGGCGCCTCCTTTCAAAAAGTATAGAATTGGATTCGTGAGGAAATTGGAAATTGCATACACATATATTCATCTTCCTCTCTGGGCTAAACGCATATATAAAAACATTTTAAAATGCAAGAAAAACCCATATAATTAGGGGATTTTGCAAATATTTTCTCAATCCTCACAACAGCCCTAGGAGAAAGAGTATAACTCCTCTTTACAGGTAAGAAAACGGGCTCATCCAAGTGAAATGACTTGGCCAAGATCACTCAGCTCAAAGGTGGGAGCCCTGCCATCAGTCAATTCTTTTCAAAGCCAAAGCACCTGCCACCTCAGCAGGAGTGCTGTCAATCACCAGAAGGGTGGGCTCAAAGGTGCTGATGGTGCTGGGAGGAGAGGTGACCATGACTCAGCTTCAAACTGTAGTCGGTAGCTATTGTCATGTTGGCCAGCCTCTGCGTTGGTGCTTCCTCCTCGCCCCAGTGGCAGAATGCCCTTCCAGGCTCTGCTCTTCAGACCCACCTTCTCCGGCCACAAGGCCACAGGTTGGGAATTTCCCCACTGCTGCAGGGATCATTTGTATCAGCTGCTACCTAATGTCTAAGGGCGCAAATGACTGTCATTAACTCAAGTTCCTGGGAGAGAGGGCCTCAGGAGGATAAAAGACAGGTGAGGCAGTGGGTGTGGCGGGTCAGTCTTTCCTTCCCTGGAGGTGGAGTAGCTGGAGTGTGGGCACAGAGTCTACCCTAAGGGCATGAGCTGAGGTGTGGAAGGGGTTCTAGACTGAGCTGATCTGGCATCAAAAGGTAAGTCAGCGGGGCTTCCTCTTAAGAACAAACTTTTCAGCCAGAAGACCTGCCTGGCTCCTCCGAGGCCGAGCCCACATGAGGTTTGCTCAGCCCTGTCATGGAGAGAGCACCGTCTGAAGCCAGGCGGACCTAGGTTCAGATTCCAGCCCCGTGGCCCTGGGGGAGCTGCAGGAGTTCTCCGCTCCTCACCACCCCCCGGGCCCCCCCGCCCTTTGTTTGATGGGGACCTTAGCACCGACCTGGCAGAGGTACTGTGGTTATCAAATCAAGTCCTGTGAGAGGACACCCCTCAGGGGCTGGCACTAAGTGGGTGGCTGCTATGATTTCTGTTAGCAATATCGAGCCTCAGGTGTCTGACAGGCGCACAGCTGAGCGAGTAGCCTGGGCCCGAGCCCCAGCTTTGTCCGTGTCGCCTTCCCGTTCTTTAGGAGGTAAGTGCCCCGGGAGGAAAGCTGGGCAGGTGTCAGCGATGCCCAACAGACCTGTGAGAGGTGGGCTCTGTGCCAGTGGCCCCTGTTTGAGGGGAAGCAACACCATTCAGGGCCCAGCTGTGCAACCCGGGGAGAGTCGGTTCACCTCTCTGGGCCTCCATTGCCATATTGCAAGATGGGGGAAGAAAGCCTGTCCTACCTCAGGGGCGAGAGGACCTCCTCTCTCCCCCAGGGCAGGTATTTGAGGAAGTCCCTGCCTCGGGGCAGGGCTGGGGGCTGGGGGCCGCTGCAGGAAGGACCCCCGAGGCAGGGAAAGCCCTCTGCAAACCTTGCCAGGCTGGAACTGGCAGATTTCCTCTCACCCTGATGCCTGTGTTGCTGGTGCTTGTGTTTTAGACTCACAGGTGAACTGAATCTAAATCCCTCGAATCCTCTGAGCACAGGCCATGGCTCAGAAGAGCCTCCTGGGCAACGGCGTGAGCTTCCCCTACAAGGACCTGGTGTCCGAGGTGGCCAGACGCAGGTTCACCATGACCACCAGGTACGCAGAGCTTGGGGGTCAGTGGGGTGGGGAGGGGAGACGCTGGCGAATGTCAGTGTATTCAAATGTGTTCGTCCATGGCAGGGAGGAGACAGATTTTGTGAATGAGAAACTGCTTTGTCACTCACTTGGGGGGGAACAGACCTTTCCCACGTGGCTCCTCCAGAGGTGATGGTAAGGGGGCTGGGATGGATTTCAGATCCGTGGCTCTTAATTTGGGGTGGTCACTTTGGTAAGTTATGAGGTCCCCTCTTAGTATACAAATGCGTGACTTTGCAAAGTTTGGGCACAGCAAACCCCTGAAGCTCGCCGTTATTCCGAAGGCTGTAAGCTCCTGTGGGGACACGGTCTCCTTCCCCGAGACCGGCCTGGTGCCCAGTACCATGCTCATGGTGCCCTTAGAAAGGAGACCCCTCACAGCTGTCTCGCCTGAAGGAGAGCGTGTGCCTGCCGCTGGAGGTAGGGTGGGCAGGTAAAACACTGGGTTCCTAATTACATTTGCATTTTAGACAAACAACAAAAAGTTTCTTTGGCCGAAGCACACCTGTGCAATATTTGTGATATGCTTCTAGTGAACAATCAGTGGTTTATTTGAATTGCCCGATGAACGGGGCCCTGTGTTTTCCTTGGCTAAATCTGGCGAGCCTGCAGGGGTCGCTGTGGGAGGGAGGCCCTCCTCTCTCGGGTCTGAAGACATCTGTGGATAAAAGTGCCTGCAGAACACGGGGACTCTCATTTCTACTAAAGCTGAGCTCTATGCAAACCCTGGTGCGGCCAGACGCCTCCCCTGCTGTGTGTGGGGAGGTTCGGTGGAGAAGCTGAATCTCCTGGTGGAGGGACAGGAGCTGGAGGGAGCCGGTAGGACTCTTCACTCCGCCGATGCCCACCTGTTTGTTACTCGTGTCGGTTATGTGGATTGATGAGTTATATTGTCTAGTCTTAAGGAATGTGGCCCTCGAGGTTCTGCGAAGAAGCCTGCACTGAAGCAATTCTAATACAGGAAATAGGAATAAAGAACAAACATTGGCAGGGCGGACCCTTCTGAGTTGTCAGGTTGGGTATCAGTTTAAAAATGATGACTTTATTAAACCTGATAAGTTAGCCAAAACTGTTTTTGAAATATTGATTTAAAATCTGGACCTCTATCCAATATTGTTCACAACGCTTGTTGACCTTAGAGATTATTGGAATATAAGGTAGTAGTGAATTAGGTGCAATTTCTTAGTTCACAGGGATGTGGAGTTTTGGAAACCTTTAGTGATTGGCGTATATGGCAACCACTGGTTTAGACCGTCTTGGGTTGGGGGCTGTGGCCACTGTGCTCTGACATCCACGCAAGAAGGAATAGACTCCCCTCCCCCACTCAATTCTGGGGCCTTTCCTAGCCCACACATGACCCTCTCCATCACCCCACCTCCCCTGAGCAACAGTGGGCTTCAGCTCTGAGAGATACGGCAGTGAACTTGGGGTCGGGAGGTCTGAGTCTGCATTCTGGTCCTGCCTTTTACGGGCCACAGGACAGGGGTCAATCGCTGCCTGTCTCAGCTTCCTGGGCTGAGAATCTGCATGTCCTTCGTATCTCGTTCATTTCTAGTCCCTGGAACAAAGCAGGCGGTCAGGGGACAGTTCAATCTGGGTCTCTGAGCTCTTGATGGGCTAGTCTAGTTCCTTGAAGGCAGGGTTTGCCCAGCCCTGGGTGGGATGGGGGTGGAGGTAAGTTAGGCAGAAAGGAGAAGGGAAGTGAGCCTAGAACTGAGCTGGCGGAGAAAAGCTGGGATGCCAATGAGACCCTGAGGTCGAGCCTGCCCTGGGCTGAAACTGGAGAGCTGGCTGGTAGGGGTGGACCCAGGGCCATGGGTTCCACGGGACCCGTGCAAACAGCTGAGTTCCCTCTGAGACGAGCTGACTCGCAGTTAAAGTCTACTAGCGTGCGGCTCGTCTTCACCAGGTGGCAGCTCTATGGGCATCGGTGGATGAGTCAGGAAGTGGCTATCTTTTGGGGCTGGGGACTAAGGGTTTTTTTTTTTTCTTCTCTTAAAAAATCCTGTCTTTGTTTAAAATACCATTCATGATGCCTTTCCTCCCAGAGAAGAGATGCTTACCAAGGAAGGTGAGGAAGCCCTGATGAGCAAGCCAAAGGGTTTGGATCAAGTCCCTTTCCCTGACATGGCCGACCCCCCATTCCCCCGAGCCCCACCTCCCTCTCCAGCTGAGGACCCCGAAGTCTCCTAGGCATGCAATGCGTCAGTTGTTTTGAAATGGACTTGGACATAAAACCCAGAGGACGGTTTGGGGGAGGCCTGGGGTTGTCATGGAAGACTGTCTTGGAAGGTCTTTGTTCTCTTTCCTGTCGTCTTCTCCTCACCCACTGTTGCCCTTTGTTATCCTCACAAATGCTATAGCGTCATCTTTGGTTCTTCAAGCCACGTCTCTGATATGTGTATATATTTATCTTTAATTTCAGTCATGCTGTTTGAATTTAAAAAAACAATAAAAGAAAAGCAATCAGGCCTCAATGTTTGTTAGTAAATCTGGATGATGACAAGCCCAGGCCTCTGAGACTTTCCAGATCCGAGCTCCAGAGGACCCTGAGGTGTTTGGATTTTCGAAACTCAGCCTGAGACAGGGCAAGTTTATGGCCTGTGGCCTAAGGGAGCTGCATCGCATCTCCGGCGCTGGTGCGAGGCGGGTGGCATTTCACATGTATGGGCAATGGTTTTAAAGTTTGCACCTAGGAGATTTAAGTGAATTTCAAGCTCGGTAACAGAAGGATTGTACCTTGAATAGCAGCCCACAGCAGGGACCTCACTGGGGAGAAGTATATTACTCAGACTCCAAACTCCGGGCTCCCACTGATCCCAAAGCACCAGGAAGGATTCCCACGGCTCTCTCAACAGCCCGAGAGCATCACAAACGTGATCGTGTGGGAAACGTCCTTAGGTGCCATCTTTCATATCATCCCCTTCTTCGTAGAGTCTTGGTAGGTGTTCTCTCACCACGCTGGCCCTTAACATGTGCTCCAGTCCCGCCCCCCCACCCCTCCCCCACCCGCATAGCCAGCGGCTGTGGTGTTGGTGTGAAGTCAGCTTCCTCACCTGTGGTTGCTGCAGCAACAGGCGTCCGGGGCGTGGGGGGTGCACCATGGGCACCTGGCATTGCCTGCTGGGTGTCCCACACAGGACGCCATCTCAGTCCCAGGAGGAAACAGACCTGCGCTGTCCAATAGCGTAGCCACTAGCCACATGTGGCCACTTAAACTTAAATTCATTAAAATTAAATAAAATAGAAAACTTACTTCCTCAGTCACACTAACCATATTTCAACAGCCCGGTAGTGACTCGAGGCTGGTGGCTACCACACTGGATGGTGCTGGTGTCTGGGTCAGAGGCCGAGGGTCCTGTCCACGGCCACAGTCAATGCAGCATCGGCACAAGGAGGGGGACGGGGAGAAGGGCTAACAGACGAACTCTTGGGGTGGCTTTATTTCCTGTTGTTTCTGAGTAAGTTTCAGGGTGGTTTCTTTCTGCTCATGTGAGGATGTCCTGTGCCAGCTGGGCAGGGCCCCAGGGACACATCGTTGAACAGAGTGACCCAGGCCCGCACCCATGAGTTCACACTTCAGTGCGGAAAAGTGTATCCAGTGTAAACAGTGGACTGTATCATGTCAGGGATGATGCGGGGAACCGGTCTAAAATAGGACGACAGGGTAAGGGAAATCAGGTGGCAGAGGAGGCAGCAGTCGCGAGCTCGGATAGGGTGGTCTGGGGAGGGCACCCTAGGAAGGTGACATCTGAGTAAGGACTTGGGGACAGTGATGGAGTTCGGTGGGTGGGCATCAGGGCCAGTGGGAAGGGTCAGTGCATAGCCCTGAGGACCCAGGTGTGCCTGGTTGTTCAAAGGACAGTAGGTGCTAGGGCTTGGCTGGAGTGGAAATCAGGAGACATTAGAAGATGCAGTCCCAGTGCAGGGTGGGGCGGGGGTGTGTGCTTGGCAAGGACTCTGCTTGTGACTTTGTGTGAAATAGGAAGCCGTGGGGTGGCAGGGGTGGGGTGGCTTGTGTCTCAGTGGGCCTCACTGGCCGCTGAGTGGAGCTTGGGTCGCATGGGGCGGGAGCACACACTTCAGAGTAATGCAGGAAAAAGGCCATGGTGACGTGGACAGGAGCAGCTGTGTGCGTGTGTGTGTCGGGGGCGAGTGCAGGGGAAGCCAGGGAACCCCAGAGAGGAAAAAGGAGCTTAAATTCTAGAGCGTTCTTGACAAGCCTTTGGGTCCCAGATAGTTTGGGGCATGAGAAAGCAGAAGCGACGTCTGCTTGTTCTGGGTAAAGCATGTGTTGGTGGCAAAGTTCCAGGAGAAGTGACTCTTCAGCAGGAAAACCAGGGGGAACCTGAGCTCTGTCTGGGGGAAGGGCCCGAGCACCCTGAGTGTCCGACGACACAGGCGAGCTCGGACACGTGCCAGTGTCCCCGGTGGGACACAGGACGGGCTAGAGAAACACAGTGAGCCGATGGGCTGGAGGCCAGAGCTGGAACTGGGTATGGACACACGGTGTCAGCAGCCAACACAGGGATCTGTGCTGGTGGCTAAGACCAGGTGTGATGAGTAACTAACTCTGCCTGGAGCCTCCCCTCCTGCTGGGGGCCCTGAACCAGCTTATCTCAACCGCAAGGGCCACCCTGAAGAGAATGGCGAAGAGGAAACCCCTGACTTGACTGAAAAAGCTAACGGAACACAGTCCAAGCAGAACTGCCAAGAGAAGGTGTTCTGCCCATTAAGTTCAGTTATTAAAAAATAATGCTGTAAGGTTTGCTTACCTGACGTGGTGGTTTACAAAACTCATGCCAGCAAATAAGGACCAAAGTGGAGTTAGGGTGAAGAGAGGGTGAGCTGAGGAAAGATGAAAAGTTGATTCTGGAAGGACCAAGAGGGCCAGGAGATGGGGCTGGGAAGGTGTACGTTCCAGTGTTTGCCAGGTGTCATCCTGGGTGACACCTCTGTTACACACACACACACACACACACACACACACACACACACACACCTTGAGCATCCTGCCATCCCAGCTGCCAACCCAAAGGAATTCTCTGATGGTTGGAATCTGTATTCTCGTCTCTTATGCAAAATATCCCACAGTATCCGAGGAGGATGGTATGTGCGATCGTTTTATTGCACGGGCAAAGGGTATGTCATGCCCGCCTGCTCTCTACCTGAAGCATGAGAAGCAGCTAGAGTCAGTGCATCTTACACCAGTTCAGTGCTGGCCACAGAGCTTCCTGGCCCCCCCACCCCCCAAGGGCTGCTCTCATGGTGGCCTGTGTTAACCACACTGCACGCGAGCGCAGGGGGTGGCCCCGGCGTCCACCTGGATCCCAGCCCGTTTCCCCAAACTCTTCTCCAAACACCCTCGTTAGCCAGGGGAGGCCACTTATAAAAAGCCTTGTGGTTTTCATGAAGAAACGACTACACGTGACAGCGTTTGCCCCAAATCACCAGGGAACTCCAACGATTTTGGCTAAACACCCCTTCAAGAGCTGACAAAAGACAAGCGTATCTACTAGTATCTATTAGGAAACTGAGGGCCCGGATGGCTATTCCCGCTGTCAGCCGCAGTGACGGCGAGGGGGCGCGTTCTCCTGGATTCGCGAAAGCGGGGGACGCAGAGGACAGCTGCTGGGCTTTGGCTGGCCGGCCCCTGGGGACCCCCGGACGTCCTCTCCCGCCGCCCTTCCTGACCCAGCGTGCCTGCCTCTCACGCCTCGGAGAGCCTGACGTCGTAGGTGACCATGTTGAAGTTGTCCCAGGCGAAGAGCTTCTTTCCCAGGGGGTTGTAGTCGATCATGCTGCTATACTTGTAGCGGTTCTTGAACGGGATGGCCAGGGCCTTGCTGCTCCCCGTGCCCGTGTCGTACGCGAAGTTGACAGTGGCATCGGGCGACGAGTAGCTGCTGACAGTGTACAAGGTGCCGCAGATGACGAAGGCGTTGGCCACGGACTGCTTCCGGATGTTCGTCTCCCAGGTCTGCTCACGCTCCAGACTCTCGGGGTTCAGCCTGGACAGGACGATGGCGCCTTTGGCCTCCTCCGTGCTGTAGATGACCCACAGGCCCGATTCGTCCACTGCCAGGTCCATGTCCGTGTAGCCGCCCCAGGAATACGGGAACTGGCCGTGGTAGCCGGCTCCCGGGATGTCCTTCTCGGCCTTCACAGTCTCGGTGTTCAGCTCGTACCTGACCACCGTCCTGGACTCGGCCCCCTGGAAGTAGAGGCTCCCCCCGTAGACCACGGCGCCCGTGCTTTCCAGCGGCCGGGGCAGCACGTGCACCTTGGAAGGGTAGCCCTCCAAGAACTGGCTGAGGAGGCTGTACTCAAACACCTGGCGGATGCCGGTGCCCACCGTGTCGATCCTCCACGTGGTCTCCTGCGTGTAGGGGTAGACGGGCTTGGGGTCTCTCATCCACACCCCGTACTTGCCCGTGATGGTCTCAGCTGTTCTCAGAGTCACGGGCTCTCCCACCCAAACCAGCTCCCCGCATCCTGGTGAATTAAAAACAAACAAAACACAAAACACATGGACTCACCGTCGTCTCTCCACCTTGTGGAGCCGGCACAAGCCAGGAAGGAGCCCAGAGACTGACCGCCCGGGTTTAAATCCTGGCTCCGCCACCTGCGGGCTGTGTGACTTTCAGTCGGTTACTTTGCCAACTCGGCTTCTGTCCTCTCATTGGTCAAGGGGATAATGATAGTGCTTTGGGTAGAGGGCAGAGGTTCTCAACCTGTGGGTCGCGACCCCTTTGGCGGTCAAACGACCCTTTCACAGGGGTTGCCGAAGACCATCCTGCATATCAGATATTTACATGACGATTCATCACAGTAGCAACATGACAGTTATGAAGTAGCAACGAAAATAATTTTACGGTTGGGTCACAACATGAGGAACGGTATTTAAAGGGCCAGAAGGTTGGGAACCACTGGTAGAGGGGCTGTTGTAAGTCTCCAGTGTCATTAGACACGTTCAGCGCTTGGTTAGAGGAAGCGGCCAGGACAGGTTGTGATTGTACGTGGTCAGAACTGAACCTTGACAGAGGCTGCCCCGCGGCTCCGGGCTGTATTTGTCATATCTGACTCGCCCTGGCCAGGGTCGCATGTGTGTGCACTGTATTATTCTTATGACTCTCATGTCTGATTCATCTTGTTATTTAAAAACAAAGAAAATACAAAAATTAGGTCATTAG